CGGGGACGGGGTGGGAAGGCGAAACGGGGGACGGAGGGGCCTTCGGGTGCGGAGAGCTGAGGTGGCTCTGTGTGCATACCTAAAGAGAAACTGACCCATCCTCCCGACTCGTGTTTTGTAAGTTTCTGGTGTCCCAGGTGTGGTACAGATGGTGTCTGAGGAACGTGACGCGCTCCACGTGTCACGGGAGGTTTCCCCGATGAGTAGCTCTAACCACAACTTACGTAATTAAAACAAAACAACAACAACAAGCTGCTTCTTCAGTTGCGACCTAAATAAAATACTTTCCTCTCTTCACAGAATTAGCTAACCATGGTCCTCACAAGTGTGGGGAAGATGGTTGGCCTCCAGAAGAAGACTTCTGGAATCAGGAATATCTGTATATTAGCCCATGTGGATCATGGTAAGACAGGTGTTTGTGACTGGCAGAAACCTTGTGAGGAAAACTTGGGTGCGTGTTAGTTTGAATGATGGTGGGATATTGTGGTTGCTGTTTTGAAGCAGTAGGTTTTCACGGATTTAGCTTTAAACCGTCCCGATTCTGAGAAGTAAAATTGCTTTATGCACATTTCTTTTGTCCTGATGCAGCTTATCTTTTAGAACGTAAGAGAGCATTACACTGTAATAGTTTGGAATAGTTGAAACTGAACGTTTTCTACATTTGAGATGCTGAATGTTGGCATGAATTAAATATATGCATGTGTGAGGTAGGCTGTTGTATTTCTATGTTTACTTAATGGAAGAAGTTTGTTACATAGGTGGAAATAATAAATGCTCATTTTAGGGCACAAATCTTTCCTCTAATTGCATGATATATTGAGATTCTGATGTAGTGTTTGTTATTTCAACTGCTGTTCTGGTCATGACAGGTAAGGTTGCATCCACTCTTCAAAAATAAATCTGTGTGCACCTGACAGGTGAAGTTGAATAATTGGATTTATTTTTTTCTAAATTAGCTTGTACTTTTGTGGCATTTTAAAGCCTTTTGTAATGTTGATATCTCAGAACACTAGATGTTGCCAGTATTCATAATAATGTCGCATCTTTTTCTATTGTCTGTATTAATTTAAACTAAGTAATTTATTTTTCTTTTCAGGTAAAACTACTCTAGCTGATTGTCTAATATCTAGCAATGGAATAATCTCTAGCCGCTTGGCAGGAAAGGTAGAGTTATACTGTCATTTTTAACAAAAATCTGGTGTGTACGTGCTGGCATTGTAAATCAGTGATAATTGAGGAAATTCCATTCCTAGTCTTGCTAAACCTCATTTTCTTGCAGTTGTACTCTTTGACAGTTGATAAGTAACTTATGAAGATAATTCTACAGATTTATCACCACTTCTTTTGTTTTTGTGCTCAGCTGAGATATCTAGACAGTAGAGAAGATGAACAGATCCGAGGAATAACAATGAAATCTAGTGCAATTTCATTGCATTTTGTGAAAGGTAAGTTGTTGATGCTGGCAAGTATAAACTTTAATACATATTTTTGTTATTTTCCCTGTCTTTTCATTGTTGCTGTTGAGATCTTTTTGTATGCAACTTTTACTTTTGTGGTTCTCAGTGTTAGGCCATGATTCTGCAAAGACTTAGGCATGTGTTCAACTGTTAACCGAGATAATTGAGTTCCATCTCAGGGTTAGGAAAACCATCTTCAATCATATCTCAGAGTGGAGACAATTAGAATAGTTGCTTTTGTCTTTTTATTTTAGATCTAAATCTTTATATTTTGACCTTAAGTCTTGATATAATGTCACTGAAAGGTAAGATCTTCTTTCAAAAAACAACAAATTTTTAAATGATTTTGTACAGTCTTATCTTTACTGTACTTCCGTGTCAAGGTGCCTGTTATACTCTGCTATAAATTGTTAAGGTTTTTTTTTTATGTTGTAGTTACGGTTTCATCTCTGTTATGACTCCATGTTCTTCACCAGTCTTATACTGAGCTAGGTGAATGAAAAACATGAGATACATTATTAACAGGCTTGTGCAGAAAAAAGAATAACAGAAAAATTGCATGAACAGAAAAGCCACCGTTAGTCTTTCCATTTCAGCTACAGCTGACTATAAAAAATAGTTGAAACTAATGATTTTCCAGCTAAGTATTGTAAACTGTGGCTGGTTTATTGTTGACTCTGAAATGACCTTACTTTTAATGGTTAGAACCTGTTATATCTGTTGTTTTTCTGTTGTATTGAAATTTAGGCTCTAATGCAACTTCTTAAACAGGAAAGTTGTTTGATCTTATTTTGATTATGGCTGATGGTAAATGCAGTGAGCTCATGAAAAGTTGAGTGGAGTCTTCTCTAAGCAGAATTTTTTTGGGGAGTAGTGTAGAAAATATTGAAAACTTCACCTGTAGTGATATATTGAAGATATTTTAGTAGTATGGAATCAAAAAACATGTTTTAAAAAATGACAAGGATGAAATGAGGCATTTTATCAAGAATATAGGGTTTATTTTTATGATAGTCTGTCATGATTTATCTTTAAAATGCAGACTGTAGCGTAGTTGACTTGTGTTTTAGCTAGTGATGTATTTGTAGTGCTGCTATGAGCTTGTTCAGGGTTAGGGTTTTTCTTTTTGTTTGGTTGGCAGGTGTAGTTCTGTTTTTAATTTTCCAAAGTTAGCTGGGCATTGAAAGATGAAGATTGGCATTAAGAGTGAAATTAAAACGAATTAGGTACAAGCTGCTAGATGTTATGCTGCTGACAGTCTTCCTGTTAAGCATAAGGGTTACTGCAGATTTGGTGTTTAGAAATTAATAATAGCTTAAACAGTATAACCACGTGGCTGAAAGCAAGTATTTTTGAAAAATGTTCTGAAATATTAATTTATTGTTTGATCCTAGGTGATCAGGAGTATCTGATTAATTTAATAGACTCCCCAGGGCACGTGGATTTTTCTTCAGAAGTATCTACTGCTGTCCGACTCTGTGATGGTTGCATCATAGTGGTGGATGCTGTTGAAGGAGTCTGTCCACAGGTGAAATAAAGTATATTAATTAGAGAAAGGGGGTAGAGAAGACAGAGTAAGCAAAGTCTTAAGTGTATTATGTAGAAATAAAGATGAGCTGGTTTAAGAAGTTTCGTAAAACTTTTAATAAATGACAATGTACTTGAGGTATGAAAGAGGGTAGTTAGTTTCATAGTTGTGCTGAAAAACTGAGCAACACTGGTGAATGGGTGTAGTGATGTAGGGTTGAAACAGTGAGTATGCAATTTTTCAGGTAATGGAATATTTATATAGAGAAGAAATAAACGTCTTAAGGGAAATAATTTAATATCTTTACTTGTGCTTTTAGGGTATTTAAAGTGGAAAAATATGCAAAATAACTGCTTTTTTTCATGGCTTACTTTTATAAAGACAGGTTATTTTGCTGTTGTGGGTGTTTTCACCATGATATTCTGCCATTCTGCAGAATTCTGTAATAACTAACACTGTGTACTATGGGAGTCAAATTTCTGGTTTGAATGTCAACCTGTCCTTTATTATATGTTTAATTAAATTTTAAAATTGTATTGTCATTTTCTTTAACATTCCATCTCTTTTGTAGTATCAAGCTTTCTGTAATGGATTTTTTTAACTATTTCCTTCTTAATAGACTCAAGCAGTTCTACGGCAAGCATGGCTAGAAAATATACGTCCAGTATTGGTGATTAATAAAATCGATCGCTTGATTGTGGAGCTCAAGCTCACCCCTCAGGAAGCATACTTGCACCTTAAGAATATCTTAGAACAGGTATTCGTGCTATAGTATCATGTTCACAAGGCAGATTTTGTTGAGTGTTTTTTCTTCCCCCTTTTCTCCATTCTTGAATTGCGAGAGACTGTAATTTTCATGCCTTATAGCTGGAAGAAATTTAGTGCAGCAGAACCAGTTTTTTCTTACTTTGCAGGATCAAGCACTGTAACATCTAGTCTAACTTTTAACATTGAGGTATATTTTATTTCTAGTTGGTTTTGAGGTTCATTCAGAATGCCCATTATAGAGAAAAGAGCATTAAATGCCTCTTGATAGGTCATTAAGAAGAGTCTTCATTTTTAGAAATAATATGCTGAATGTTTTGTTCTTCTCATTAAATTCCTTAAAATTCTTTGAAGGTAGACAAATAATATCTTTAGGCTGCTCCTGATATTGATGGATTTATGCAGGGATAAAGTTAATTAATCTTTTCAGTTGCAAGTTAAGTTGCCTTCAAACCCCGCCCCCCCCCCCCCCAGCTTACTTTTAAGCACTTATCTACCTGGTTTCCCTTTGTTGTTTGTTGGCAGTAACAAGTTCCTGTTTCACCATTCCTTGTTCTGAGAGACAAAGTGTATTACGCATGATATTCTAGATCTGATTCAGTCCTGAAGTGGTTGACTTTGACTTGGAAAGTACATGGTGTTTAAGTCAAAATGTTAGTCTCGTCAAACTCCTGTTGTCTTCGAATGGGCAGGATTAGATACACAAGGTCTATGTTTCCTATTGCAAAATGAGTCACAGGCATGCTATCTG